TATGATGGATGATACACTTCCTGATGATGTTGAAGACTCACCTATTCTTGAACTTGATCAAAATTATAGTTGTCTCGAGTTTTTTTTTCAAGAATACAGGCAAAAGTTTCGAATGGTACAAGCTGTAACCGACGAAGTCACAGATCACTGTGATTTCCATATAGAAACTCCCCAACCATTTGATTTATCATTAGTCTTAACCCCTGACAAGGAGGGAATGGAGCAGATGAGTCATGACATTGAAGGAGAGTTGGGAAAAGATAATCACGAGCTCCAAGAGAGTGGTAGCAAGGTAGATGATCCCCATGATGAAGGATTTCCGCTCCACATGCAAGATTACTCCTCGTACGTTAGTCCAGGTTTGGATTTCTTTGATCCATTCCTCGGTGATGATATTTCTTTTTGTGTGGAGAATGATCCCAACTGCTTGGAGGATATTAATAAGAAGAGTGACGAAATGAATTGGGATGCATTCATGGAGAGTGATAGCGAGTCAAGAGGAGGTGCTCAGAATTTTCATGGTACATTCGAACGAAGAAAGGAGGCATTTGTGATACATTTTGAACAAGAGGATAAAAGTTTCATCCTTCACTTCTGTGCTGACGAGGGTTATGAAGACCATGCGCTTCCTAAGTGTTTTCAAGAATTTAAGAATCTGCGTCACTTAATGGAATTTGTTGAGAGGAAGCTGGAGACGTTGATTATTAGTGCACCACTGCAGTCTTTGCTATTTGAGAGCATATGAGGTATCGTCGGGCAAATGACGTTAAAAATAGCGCTTCTTGGGAGGCAACCCAAGTTTAATTCTGCACTTTTGTCTTTGTTTGTTTGCTTTCAAAAAAAACGAAAAAAAAAAGAAAGAAAAAAATCCGGGGTGTTTTCTGTTTTTGTTTGTGTGTTTGTGTGTTTTGTTTTTTGCAGCTCAGGGTCTTATTTTGGGGATGAGGTGTCGAGGATCACTTGACTCAGTTTAGTTCTGCACCGACCAGCGCCTTAGGGAAGTTTCTGCAACTCTTATAATCGCCTATTTCTAATGTTGACTTGAGTTGAGATTGAGCACGCGTGACCCTTTCCTCTTTACCCCTTGTGCATAGTGCATTTTTGGTCATCGGGGGCGATGCCAAAGTTTAAGTGTGGGGAAGTGAATTGTGCATTCGGGCAGTAGTTGTCACATGGAATTACTAGAGTTAGCATGCGCATGTGTTAGTTGTATATTCATAGAAAAGTCATGTCAAAAATTTTGAAAATTTTTCCTTAAACTGTGTCTTTGTGAGCTGGCTAGCTTGTTGACTATGCTTTTAGAACATCTTTGAATTGTTTAGGCTTAAATTGCTTGCACTATAACCTAGTTTTTGAGGATGAAGGCATTAGTCACCCATTGAATCGTTTCACAAATCATCCACCTGACCTGAATAAGTCCTTTAGGAGAAGCCATTTTGAGCCTTACCGTTTATTCTTTACCCAATTAATTGAGCTCCATAGCCCAAATGGCCTGTGTTTCCTTACCCATGAATATTTCTGACAAAGTCTTGGTGTTTAGGGAATTATGGGATTAATTTGCTAAGTTTAGGGAATTTTTGTAGGAGCCACCGTTGGCACTGTTCCTATGCCCCAAGTGGGGTAAGAGCAGTCACTTTTTAGGAATTTGATATTTTCGATGATTGCATTGTAGGCATGGATTCACGTTGAATAATTGAACCTTAATTGTTAATTTTCCTTGGTGAGGCCGAGATTAGAATGGGGTAATGTCTAGTGAAAATTTGAAAATTGAAAAAAAAAATGAATTGCTAGACCTCTTACCTTGCGAAAAAGAGAATGGGAGACCCGGTCAAAAAGTGTAAGTGTTCTGCACAATAAGATGAGACTTGGGGATCTTTCGAAAGAAATGGCGTTCTCGTGCCAACATGACAAGGAAACTTGATTTTAATTAATTGAACTTGGAGGCTATTGCAAAAATTAGCATTAGTCCTTCGCGTACTTCAAATATACGTCAAAGCACCAATGTGCTGCGGCGGTTTAGCTTAGTTGTACACCATGTCTACTCTTTGCATAGGTTTAAGTGATAGTTCCTGATTTGTGGTCTACTAAATTCCCTGATCCTAAAAATAGCCTTGAAATTCCTGAATGCATCAAGTCCTTTTCAGGTTGTTCCAAAACTCTCAAATAAAGGGATTGATTATTCATTCACCATTCATCACCACCTTCACAAGTCCTTCTAATCAGTAGCTAGTTTATTAGTGTGCGCTGCCATAATTTTGAGGATGTTGTGAATAATTTTGTCATTAATTTTAGCTACAGTACAAAGATGTAGTTTAGGGGAGAATTTTCTTGGTTTTATCTCTCTGTTCTGTGAGTATCCTTGTAACTACCTATGCGTACTAATTGTTTTAATTTCGTGTGGTGATTATCGTAAGTCCCGTTGTTTAGTTTGTTTGCGGACAAGCAAAGGCTTAAGTGTGAGGGAATCTGATAAGTCCGTATTACAACACGCATTTGATGCATGTTGGGATCGGTTTTTTATGTTTTCCCTAACTTTTAGGTGTCACAAATCTCAATTTTAGCTCAAATTATGTGTACCAGGCGTCGGTTCGAGTTTTGTGTTATTTGGAGTCAAAATCAGGAATTTAGAGTCCGACACCGGCGCTTGAAGAGAAATCGGGACAACTTGAGAAGCATTCGAGAGTGAATTGATAGCTTTGGAGGTCACCGGGAGGTTCACCAATGAAGATTTGATGACAAAAGAGCTCTAGGATTGGCTACAGGATCAAAAGAAGACAAATAGAGCTTGAAAACGACGTTAAGAATGTCCTTATGTCAATCGTTCAAACATATATCTTTTTAGAAGCATCCAAATGGCACGATTCAAGTTGCATATGAAATCCAACTTCAAGGGCTATAAATCATATGAAGACACCATTGCAAGAATCTGAGAGGAAGAAGGTGAAAACAGACGATGAAGTCAGATGATCCCTGTTGCGATTTCAGAATGAGACCTTCCACCATTTTATTCATATCTCTTGATTGGGTGATTCAAATCCAATTCCGCAAGTTGTGGTGGATAGAGGACTTCATTATCTACAACTGTGATGAAGAAAGTTTTGTCAAATTAGAACTAGAGAAGCCGGAAAACTCACTGGAAACCACGCACGTGGGGGGGGGGACGCACGCGTGCGTTCAACGTTTTTTACGTGCAAGTTTGTCGGACGCACGAACGCCACGCATGCGTGCGTGGGCGCCGTGCATTTTCCCTGGAGTCCTAATTTCGCCCAAATTGCTCCGTTTTTACTATTTAAACGGCCTGTAAACCCCTGTTTTGAGGGGGGAGCTTAGAGAGAGGCCTAAGGACGAAATTTCTTCTACTTTTCTATCTTGTTCTTCAATTCCCTTGGATTATTTGTAAGTTCCATCTTTTTAATTAATGACAATTAATTCTATTCTTCCCAATTCTATTGATTCTTCAATTATGAGTTGTGAGTAGTTTTAATTAGGGATTTGGGATTGATGAAGGGGTTAATCATGATGTATGGCTAGTTTCTTGATGGATAAGTTGCATGAATGTCGTTTAATTTGTGTTTGAACAATTTAATTGATATCTTTTGTAACCTGGAACCGCGGCTAGATTTACAATTGCTTGTAGAATAAATTAAGAGAGGTCTAATATATTCTGAGACACATTCACACACACTTAATCGCTCGCTAAGAGATTAGTAGCGATTAAGGGACCGTAAGCTCGCTCGTTTTGGCAATAATTTAGAATCCTGTCGCATGGGAGATCAGACTGGTCCCCTAAATTATTGTACTCTACGCCGCGAGAGCGGTAAGAACTTAGTATTGATTAGCTATGCTCAATTAAATTAATATCATGTAATTAAACCTGATCTACCAAAAATCTGATTACCCCGGAATCAATCAATGTTCCCTACTGTCATTAATTAGAAAGAATCCATTAGTTTAATTAATTTTATTTTAATCGTTCATTCGCATTAGTTAATTTTCCCAATCAATCAAATCTCGCACGACGTATTTATTTTATTAATTTTTAATCGCTGAATTTATTTAATGCTTAATTCCCTTTTGTCCGTCCCTGTGGAGACGATGCTCGTACTTACACCACTATTCTACAATCTATTTTAAGTGAGAGAAAACTCACATCAATTAATCTCATGTGCCTTTCCTCCTACCCACTTAGTTTCATGCGCGCACATAGTACTAATAGAGTAATATTCCTCCTCCTCATAACCTCGACTACCTCAAATGATCTTCCCGTTAAAATGCCAACATTTCACGTCTCAAAACGCAATCTAACACCCCACCTTCTCTTCTTCACACCACATCTATCCCAAAATGCCCAGGGGTGGACTCGAGTCGGGCCAACCGGCCCGGAACCGGACCGGCCCGCTACTGTGCAGGCCCAGACCGGCTCGGTGAACCAGTTGGTTGGCCGGTAAAGGCCACCCGGCCCAGTGGGATGTTGGTTCGGGCTCGGGCCCTTCAAAAGGTGAACCAGCCCGGCCGGTTTGGGCCCAGGCCGGGCCATTTTTTTTTTTGAATATTTTTTAGTTTTTGGGTTGGGCTGGGTATTTTGGGCCATTGGAGGTGGTTAGGGTTGGTTTGGGGGTGAGGGGGAGGGTTGAGGGTTAACTAGAAAAAACCAAAAAAAAAATAGAACCGAGGCCCGGCCCGGGGGTTACCCGGACCGGTTCCGGGCCTCCCCTTCATGAACCGAGGCCCAGCCGAGCCCGAACCGGTCCATCCCTAAAAATGCCCTTACATACTTGACATCATCCTTAAGCACTAAGATGGTGCGTCGCTTCCGGGCGACAACCTAATAGCCTTGGCAATCTTATCACCACACTCAAGCTTGTGAAGTGTAGCACCCTAACATATTTGACACCACCCCAAGCGGAGGGATAATGCATCGCTTATGAGCGATGACCTAAACGTCACTTACTATACCGATTTTGATATTTCAATTCATGTCGTGTGAGATGACTAAGTAATTTTGTTGACCGCCTACTAAGTGGAACATGTATCATACTAAAATGATCTCATGATGGAGTTTAAACCAATTTTCATGTGAACAAAAAAAATATTATCTATGCGAAAGTGTTACACAAACGATATACATTGATACATGTAGCACATTGTTCAATTAGGAAATGTAAATAGAAGAGCATTCGATATTACATCCACACTACCAATTATAACACCAACTAAGGGAAGATTGCATATATATAAAAGACCATACATTGAAACTTGATTTACTGCATCTCTCTATGCAATGAAGAAGGGCAGGACTGTCAACATGAAAGACTCATAGGTGAAAGTTGCTGAACCGGTGTACCCACTGTCCTTTTCCTTGAATTTTTCAGTCAGCCCCTGCAGAGCCCCAAATTTTGAACCAAATGGAATTTCAATAAACAAGTGGCTCAAATAAAGAAAGATATTTAAGAAAAAGACACAATTAGGGGTTTGGATTATCTTACCTTCACAGTAAGACAGCACCTTCATCCAGAACAAGACCACCATAAAAGGGGAGAATCGTTAGCAAGTGTAGAGAACAACAACTTAACCATAATTAAATGTAGACTACACCTTCCTTATCACAATGTTCTTCCCATTTTCTTTCAACACTTCATATAAACCATAAAGTAATTTACTTGAGATGAAAATGAAAAGAACTGTTGAAGATAACCCAAAAGGAAAGTAGGACAGAGGGATAGAAAATATTCCACTTTTCGTCTCATTGCAATTGGGTTACTTTCACTTTGGTTCTCACCTTTCACTCTTTCCACTTGTGGTGCACCACTATGGACTTTTAGTCATGCAACCAAAGTAGAAAAATGATAGTGGGGGCGGAAAGTGAAAACGTCTTAATACTCATGTGACCAAAAGTGGAATATATTTATAATAAAGTACAAATATTGCAATTAGCAATGTAACATACTCAATGAAGTTATCATATTCAATGGACTTGTTCTTTCCCCCTGTTTTATCAAATTTGGTTACCAGCAGGTCCACAACTGTAGGTGATACCGCAAATCCCAGGCTAAATAGGGCCTCCCTTAACTCAGTAGCATCAATCTTGCCACTCCGGTCTCTGTCAAATCTCTCAAAATTTCCCTAGAAATTACACATAAAGCATCATATGGCTATTGGGACACCTGCCACTTGTGTCAATTGCAATTCCATGTGAAAATGCCAGTCAGGCTATTTTTTATTTCAAAAAATAATAATTGGAAAGGCTGGTATTTATTAAAAACTTGAAAATTGCAAGCATTCAAATGTTCTGTTAAGTGGAGAATGGTTTTCTCCACCAGTCTTTTTTTAGAAACAAGGTACTCCCTGATGAGCCTTAGATAAATTGTTCCAATAGACTTTTGCGCTGTTTTCAAGACTAAATTGATCAGGGGCATTATATAGTGTATCATTTCATTTTCATTTACCCCAGTGCCGCAAAGGCTCCCACCTACGGTGGGGTAAGGGGGGTCGGATGTACGCAGTCTTACCCCTATACTAAAGCACAGAGAGACTGTTTCCGGATGACCCATAGTGAAAATCGCGTCCAAAATTGCATGGACTGAATGTTGCTTCATAACAAAGAAGCGCAGCCAGTTTAGTGAGCCATTTTGCTTTACTCCATCATAATCTCAAGCCAAAAAATTATGAATCTTTGGCTCCATTGCAAATGATGGAAAGGGCATTATATAGTGTATGCAAATGGAAAAAGTAGAAGAGAAAATGAAAACTAAGAAGAATAGACAAGGATGTAAAAAAGAGATGGCGGTTGAAAACTAAGAAGAATTGCCAAGTTTTTATTTTCCAAAATGAGAAAGTCAAACAAGTGTTTCATAAATTCCTCAAAATGGAAGATGAGCAGTTAAATTCCTCACTATGTTTTTTCAAAATAGTTTCGTGACTGCATGGATTTAAATGAAATAGAAAGACTACATGCAAAAAGAATGATGTGGGAATCTAAAAGTGAAAACTATTTCAATGGAGCGTATAGCTTAGTCAAGGAATCCAAAGGGAAAGGGTGAGGAGGGGATATATCGTATCAACTTACCCTCCAGACTTGCAGACTGTAGAAGAGTGCAGTAAATTCTTTTGGACCTGTACCAAAAAAATAGAACCGCTATCAAACCAAAGCCATATGCATTAATAAAAAAGAGAGAAAGATCTCTCTTTCATCACTGTGCTTCTTTAGAATAGTAAATCAGGCAATAGTTTTGCCCCATCCTTTAAATGATCCTGGTGTCTTCAGGAAATTAAGACACCGGCATCGTTTTTCAACGGGAACAGTTGTTGACATATATGATGACTTTATCAACACAGGAACCATTTTACATCAATTAACTAACATGTACTCCTTTTCTTGGTAGAGTCAATATTTTGACATTTAACGGCATAATTGATGAGCCAAATGCACAAATGGAACATATAATTGCTTGGCAATTTCTTTGTCACACAAATATTAACAGCATGGGGATTGCCGAATGCGCTACAGCACCTAATAGTTACAGCACTAAAATACACTAAATTGCCTATTATCAGCCAAGATGCCACCAAATCAACAAAGGACTGCTTTACCAATCCCCTTCATGGTAATTGTTGCATAATAACAATTTATATATATGCAGTAAAATATGATAAATACATAGCCATATAATGCTAGTGTTCTACAACACAGGCTAGATGCCAGTCTAATCAGCGCTTAGGCGCTAGGCAGATCCACTCTGCCCCAAATTCCGTCTAATGCCTAATGGCCATATGTCGCAGCCAACCAGTACACCATCTGTGCAAATTGGCGAGGAAACTTAATAAAGCTCCCCTTCAATTCGTAGATAAATAGAAAAATGAAAATCTTATAAAGAAAATGGCAGCACGGTGCACGAAGGCATTTCCGCAAGGCGAGGGTCCAGGGAAGACTGAAGAGTCCGACCACAAGGGTGTACAGGGGCAAGCCTTACCTGTCAAATTTTGATAAGTGCCGCTCCGAAGACTTAAAACTGTGACCCCGCGATTACACTGCACCTTGACACGTGCACCAAAGCTTCCCTTTAAAAATGAAAATCTTATAAACTTTTTAAATCTTACTGGACCTCCCTCCTAAGACGAACAAAACTTAGAACACTATATAACGCAGTTGAATAAATGCACCGCCTTCTTTTACATGAAGTACATATCTACACTTCACCAAGAGTCATCACCACTTTGCTAAGTGCATTTAGCAAAGTGAAATGGAGAAATGAAAGAAAACTAGACTTTTATCATCATGTAGGTATAGTTTATAAGAATTCACACCATTCAACACATTCAGCCATTTCAACCACTATAGCAGATCAAATCCATCCCAGGTCAGCATAACTGGCTCTAAATCTCAATCTATCTTTCATGGCTAAAAGGTGTTGAATTAAGTGAACATTTGAACACAGGTCAGATGAATAAACAGTAAACGCATATGGAAGGCCTCAGGTATATCTGTGTGCAGATAATTACCGATTTTGTGAGCGTTTGTGTTAGTGAAGAGATACATGAGAAGATGCACCGTCCTCAAGCTAAAGCTTTGATTATAGGAGGAGAGTGCCCTCTGCAACTCCTTATCGTCGATTAGTCCACTTCCATCCTGGTCCGCAATCTGAAAACAAGCAACGACGTTGGGATCGGTGCCAGGTGGAAAAGTGGAAGGAAGCAGATTCGAAAAGGGGCTACTGCCGTATGGTGCAGAAGCTGGTGGAGTAAGGTAACTGCCGCCGTAAGGGGCGGAGTGTTGAGGTTTATTTTCTTTCTGGGGTTTGCTGGGATCGGACGCATACGGGGCCGATGGAGCCGAGTATGAGGTGGCACCGTAAGGGGATTGACCTGGTGGTGGGGCCCAGTAGGGAGATGCTGCGGAGGGTGCCGTGGCGCTGTAGGGATCTGATGTGTACGGCTGCGAAGGTGGTGCGGCTTGTGGGTACGACTGGGACGGCGGTGCGGCTTGTGGGTACGACTGGGAAGGTGGTCCGGCCGATGAGTACGGCTGGGACGGGGGTGGAGCTGATGAGTACGTCTGGGCCGCGGGAGGGCCATTGTAACTACCGTAGGCTCGGTTGGGATAGCCTGACATTTTCACAATCGGAAGAGAGAGACAGGCGAGTCCGGGAAATGGAATCGATCAATATGTAGAGCATAGACTTTGTTGCTTTCATAATTACGGACTACACAATATCATTCACACCTGCACAAACAAAGCCGGGCTCGCCCGCCACGACACGCCCACATAAATGCATGCATATTTGCCCGCCAGGTCCGTCTGACCCGCAAATCCGCAATAGGGTGTAGGCCTATTCGATCTAAGCTCGACCAGCTACATTTAGTGTATATACCAAAGACTCGAAGAGTATATACTACACAAGTACCGGTGCGATGCACGGAATGTATGTGTAATAAAACAACAATTTATTTAAAATTTTATTTTCTTAAATAATACTACCTCTGTCCCCCTAATATTCGGATGGAACGGAGTGGTGTGATTTTTAAGAAAAGTAGAATTATGTGGTTGATAATGAGTTGATAAAGTGGAATAAAGTAAAAATGAATTAGAGATACACAAATGTTACCAAATATGGTACATTGGTATGAGACAATAATAGTGGGACATCCAAAAGTGGAAAAATTGGACAATTATATGAAATAATAAGATTGGAATAATGGTTCACCAGGGTGTCTTGGTGGTCTATATATAATAAGTAGAGAATGTGTAAATTACAACAAAGTCCCAATACTATAGATTATTACACCCCCTCAATCTATGCATGAGATACAACGCGCAGATTGAAACGTAAAAATTCTAAACGCTGACTAGATAAATTTTTAGTAAAAATGTCAGCTAACTGCAAGTGAGTGGGAACATATTTGACCACCAGATCTCCATGAGCAACTCGTTCTCTGACAAAATGACAGTCAATCTTGAGGCGGACACGTTATCACAATGAAGCTGAACAGGCGTGGAGAGGCGAAGACCCATCTCGGCCAGAAGTGAGCGAATGAAAATAGTATCTTGGACAGTGTAGGCTATGGCACGATACTCGGCTTCAGTGGAGGATTTGGAAACAGTGGGTTGCTTTCTGGATCGCCATGAGACAAGATTAGGACCCAGAAAAATTGCATACCCAGTTGTAGAGCGACTGTTGTCTGGACAACCTGCCCAATGAGCATTGGAATAGGCCACAATGAACGAGATGTCACGATTAGCCTGAAGCCATAAACCATAATCTGTAGTGCCCTGCAAATATCTGTAAATACGCTTCACAGCCAAAAGGTGAGTAGTACGTGGTGCATGCATAAACTGAGAAACCAAATGTACAGCATAAGTAATATCAGGTCTAGTTAAAGTCAAATACTGTAACGCACCCACCATACTACGGTACTCAGTACCATCAGTGAGAAGTTCGCCATTTGTGAGAGAGAGAGAGGTGCGCGATGGTAGAGGGGTACGAACAGGCTTGACAGTATGTAGGTGAAATCGGTGTAATAAATCAGAAATATATTTTTGTTGAGAGAGAAACAGACATGTAGACGTACGCCAAGCCTGAAGACCCAAGAAAAAATGAATATCACCCAAGTCTTTCATGGCAAAATGAGTAGAGAGAGAATCAATTATCGACCGAACAAAAGATAATGATGAGCCAGTGATTAAAATATCATCCACATATAGCAGAATATAAACAACCTGAGACTGCTGACGAAGAACAAACATGGAAGAATCAAACTTACTTTGAGAGAAACCACGAGACAAAAGAAAACCGTTAAACCTGTGAAACCAAGCTCTAGGAGCCTGTTTAAGACCATATAACGCCTTTTTGAGGCGACACACATGATGAGGAAAGGAAGGATGATCAAAACCTTGAGGCTGACGCATGTACACCTCTTCTGTAAGACTACCATGAAGGAAAGCATTTTTAACATCTAGCTGATGAATATACCAACCAAGAGAAACAGCAATAGATAACACAAGACGAACAGTGGTTGGTTTGACAACAGGACTAAAAATTTCAGTAAAATCTACACCGACCTGTTGCTTAAACCCCTAGGCAACTAAACGCGCCTTGTGGCGCTCAACGGACCCATCGGAATTATATTTTGTCTTGTAAACCCACTTACAATCGACCACATTTTTCATGTCATCCCAAGGTACCAAATCCCAAGTCTGATTAGAAAGGAGAGCATTAAATTCATCTGTCATGGCAGCCCGCCAAAAAAATGTTTTTGAGCTTCAGTAAAACACGTAGGATCAACCGGGGGTGAAAAAGCACTTAAATTAAAAATTTGTTTGGGCTTATAAATACCACCCTTGGCTCTAGTTTGCATGGGGCGATGGTTAGCTAACGGTGGAGAGTGTGAGGAGGAATGGGGCGCCGAAATGGATACTGGACTAAGAGTGGGGCTGGTTATCGGGCTGGATTTAGAACTGATTGTGGGGCTGGTTGTCGAGCTGACTGGTTCGGTTGATGTCAGGCTAATGGGTTCGGTGGGTGTGGAGTTGTCCGTATCAGTGGATGTGGGGCTGGAGTAGGAGGGATTTGGGGCATTGTGATGGATGATAAAGGGAGATGGAGTACTGGCTTTATTAATGGGCATGGGTGTAGGTGCTAAAACATGGATGTCGGGTGAAAGAGTACTGGACGTAGGGGAAGAAAAATTAAGAGGTCAGTTGGAGGAGTTAGCAGGAGCCGGTAGAGAGGTTTGAGAGGACTGAACGAGCCTAGAGTAAGGAAAATCATTTTCAAAAAAAATGAACATCTCTACTAACATAAACCCGACCGGAAACGGGATCTAGACATCTGTAACCCTTATAACCCGGGGCATATCCAAGAAAGACACATTGAATAGAGCGAGGTGAGAGCTTATTCGAAGACTTGGCAACAAAGTTAGGAAAACAGGCACACCCAAAAACACGAAGAAATGAAAAATCAGGAGATTTATTAAAAAGTTTGTCAAAAGGAGTTAAATTATTAAGTATGAGGGTAGGTAAACGATTAATAATATAAGTTGCTGTATACAGAGCATCAACCCAAAAAGTAGGAGGAATTGAAGATTCAATCAACAAAGTCCTAGTTAATTCAAGAAGACGCCTGTGTTTGCGCTCAGCTACACCATTTTGAGCAGGAGTATCCGAGCAAGATTTTTTGAATAAAATATCGGATTTAAAAAAATGATTTTGAAAAATGGTATTATCAAATTCACCACCCCCGTCATTCTGAAAAGTCTTGATTTTTCGATTAAAAAGATTTTCCACAAGTGTTTGGAAATTACAAAAATGGGTAAACACCTCAGACTTACGCCGCATATGATAAATCCAAGTATAGCGAGAAAAATCATCAATGAAACATACATAGTATTTAAAGCCCAAATTGGATAAAATAGGCGACTGCCAAACATCAGAGTGAATAAGTTCAAGTGGCACAGTACAACTATGAATGACATCTAAAAACGGGAGTCTGTGGGATTTTCCCAACTTATAAGAAACACGGTTATGAAGAAAACTACTAGAATTTGAAATTAATTTATTTTGCCGAAGTCGTTGTAAAACTCTCTCATCACAGTGTCCCAAACGTTTGTGCCAGGTAGGTCCAGGAACTAGGGTCGCTTGAAGAGCATGGAAAGGATAGAGATGGTCTTTATTGGAGCCCTGAAGTAGATGCACCCCTGTCTGATTGTCCTTAATAGAAAAAGAATTTTTATTAAAAATCACCGTACAATCATTATCCGCACACAACTTATTAATGGACAGTAAATTATATTTTAAGTGTGGGACATGATAAACGGAGTTTAAAGAAAGTAGGCGACCAGGCGTAAAAATTTTAAGGCTACCAACATGAGCAATAGATAATTTAGTACCATTAGCAATTTGCACTGAATTAGGACCGGTGTAAGGAAGTTTGCAAGAAAGAATACCTTCATGAGGAGTCATATGAGCGGAGGCACCTGAATCAGGATACCACACAGAAGCATTAGTCTCGCCTGAGGGAAGAGCTGCCAGAGCCGGAGTAGAGGAACCAACAAATCTTGGACACGTGAGAGCAGAGTGACCTGGGGAGAAACAGATTTGGCAAACAACTGGTGGAGATGAATGATTAAAAGAATTGTCCACAGATGGAAAACCTGCACTGACACTATTAGTACCACAAGTAGACAGATGATTAAAGTATGAATAACTAGTCAAAATATTACTTAAAACTATACATGGAACCCCATTTTGCGGTGGACCACGAGCGGGCTGTCCTCCATACACCTGCTGCCCAGAAAGTTGCTACCCGTAAGATGGTAAGGGAAGAAGAGGCGGCTGCCCATTATACACCTGCTGGCCGCCATAAGATGGATGCGACTGACCCCCATAGCCGCGACTGCGGCCTTGATGCCCACGACCGCGCTGACCACCTCTGATTCCACGACCTCCAAGATGACGCCTAGCCTGGCCACGAGCTGCACCCCCTCGGTTTGGGGCCGCGGCAAAGGCCTGGTGCGACACCGAAGGCTACTGAGAGCGAAGATAAATGTTCCGTTGTTCTTGAGCAACCAATATAGGACACAACTTTTGAAGAGTGAGGTCCCCCGGAAGATAATCGATAATTGTAAGCAAGGATTCATATTCCTGTCCCAATCCAATAATAGTATATTCGAGTAAATCACGGTTACTAACAGGAGAGTTTATAGCAGTCAAGGCATCAACCAACAATTTAATTTCCAAAAGATACTGGTCAATGGTCTAAGACTCCTTCTTTTTAATATGGGAAATCTGCCTCTTAAGTTCTATAGAACGGGCACGACAGGCATTCATAAAACGAGTTTCAAGAGATTCCCATATACGAGCAGAAAATTTGAGATCATAGAACTCCATTAAAATATCTCTAGACAACGTAGCAAACAATCAGGAACGTACAGCCTGATCAATCTTAAGCCAGTGATGATATTCAGGATTGGGACTCTCCCGTCGATTAATATCAAGTAAAGAAGGTGACGGAGCCACAATTGAGCCGTCTAAAATCCCAAGGAGACTATGGAAAACTAGAAAAGACTCAAATTGAGTCCGCCAAGGGAGATAGTCCTCAACCGCGGCCAATTTAGTTGTAACAATGTTTGTCACATTAGGCGTGGAGAACGCTAATTGACTGACCAAAGTATGCAAAGAAGAATGGTTGGAATAACCTGGAATCTGTGAAAAAGAAGGCTGCAGTGGAGCCGTACCAGACTGGCCAGTAAATGTGGAGCTAGCAAAAAACGGTGGTGGAGGAAGTTGCTGATCCAAGGCAGACAGTGCACTAGGTGAAGGAGAAGGCTGGACCGTTGTGGAAGAGAAAGTAGCATCCGCAGCAGGCTTGGAATTCCACATGAAAAGGCTCCGGCATGTTGAACATTCGGTATGATGAAAGAGACGGCGGCAGAGAGACTCCATTCGTCGAACGAGGCCGATTAATGATCGGTGATGTAAAACCATTGGACTGCTCTGGAGGTATGTGTAGACCCTGAGTAAGAGACAGCACCATGGGAGAGGCACTGACAATAGAAGAAGACGTCGCTGTAGTAAAGGAGGGCTGCACCATGTTGCTGTTGGGCGCCGCTGAAGTGATCGACGAAGAAGCAGAAGCGGAGGGCTGCGCCATGAGGGAAAAAAACTGTGATTATAAGGTCTAGGGAAAAGTAGGGCTTCTGATACCATATGGAAATAATAAGATTGGAATTGGAATAATGGTTCACCCTATTAGGATGTCCTGGTGTTCTATATATAATAAGTATAGAATGTGTAAAATACAACAAACTCCCAATACTATAGATTATTAAATTATAGGGGGCAGAGGGAGTATGTATTTATGTAATATGTGTTTTTTTCAAATAAAAAAGACAATAGAATTTACATGGTGTAACTTTGATTATATAATAGTAATTGTAAGAAAATAAAAAATGATTCGTATGAAAAATTGTATATAAAAAATAAAATAAATGTTAAGGTATAACATTAACTAATGTGTAAATGATAATGGAATTGATGACAGTGTAACTTTTTATTGTAATTAATGATAGTGTTACTATTAGTTGGTCTCATAAAACAGAATCACAAATGTTTATATTCTTTGATAGCATGACATTTTCACCGCATACAAGAATTTTCAATTCACTTCTTGATGTGACCATTGACATGACAATATACAATTGTCCATGCGTAAAAACGGATTTGGAAAGATATACTATGTCAACTTGATGCAAATATAGTACTTGACTTTCGTTTATCGTCAAGGAAAATATAATGAAACGACGATTGGAAATTGTCTCTTTTGAAATTTAAAAGAAATTATGCTATATCAAGGGACCAATAATTAATAAGTGGAATCAAAACTTTTTTATGAATACTTTGACTGATATAACATTCGCCTCCAAAACACATTTACCAAACCGAGTAATAATCAGATGAGTCCTATTACAAAATCCAAGGACAAGTTAGCGGGCTTCGGGTTGGCTGGATTGAGGTCGAGGAGGATGAGATATCCAACAACATACAACAACAACATCCAAGCCTTAGTCCCAAAAGATATTGGGGTCGGCTAACATGAATCGATACATGATATCACAACCAAAAGGAAAAGAAGGAATAAAGATAAAAAGATGAGCTATTATGAAAAGATAATATAAAAAAGATGAATATATATATAGAAATGATAAAATAAAAAGGCTGCAAATAATGCATATATATATATATATATATAAGGATAAAAAAACTAGGAAAAAAAGATGAGGGAAAAGGATGAGATATCCGCAGTAGATAAATCCAAGGCAGTAGCAGGCGTGGGTGGGAGGGAGGATCGGTCAGCACCGGTGGCGGTGCGGCCAGACTAACTGCCGGTAGGGGATGAGATGACCGAAGAGTATTGGTGAGGAAAAAGTCAAAGCTAGTAGCTATGGTGGTTGACTCAGATGATGAAGAGACAAGAAATGGAAAAGGGAAACTGTTCTTAAGGAACCTAACATGACGACTGATGTAGATTCTACCAGACTTGGGCTCAAGACAATGATTTTATAGCCAGAGCTATAGCCAATAAAGACACAATGAACAGACCTAGCAGACAGTGTATTGACATATGAGGCAGAGATATTTGGAAAACAAGAACACCCAAAAACACGCATAAATGAATAATCAGGAGTTTTGTGAAAAGGTTTTCCATAAGGGGGTAAGTAACAAAGTAAGGGAGAGGGTAAACGATTAATAATATATGCAGCGGTAAAAATAGCATCAACCCAAACATAACTAGGAATAGAGGCTTCAAGAAGCATAGTTCTAGTAAGTTCCAAAAGATGTCTATGTTTGCGCTCAGCCACCCCATTTTGTTGGGGTGTTTCAGGGCAAGATTTTTGAAAATAAATTTCATGATTATCAAAAAATTGATGTACATTAGAATTAACAAATTCACCCCTTCCATCACTTTGAAAAACTTTAATGTTAGCACTAAACATATTTTCCACTTTATTGTACTTAGCACAATGCACTCAATCAGATATATCATTCTCAATGAACTTATGAGCTAGATTTATCTCCGCGCCAACGCAATGGCACTAGAACAGTATCAAAAATATTTCTCGATACCTAAATGGAGCTAGTGATTTGGGATTCTTCTTTCCCTACGAAGAGATAAAAGAAATCACACAAGGAAATATGGTTGCAAAAGAAAATACCAAAGACAAAAATGATCACTCCCTTAAGAAAATTCCAAATGATGTCTTGGTAGGTTTTGCTGATGTTGGGTATATCTCTGACCCTAACAAAGGCCGGTCTCAAACCGGCTACATGTTCACAATTGGTAACACACTAAGAGCATCTTCATGTTGGAATATTGAGAGTATTTCAAATGAAAAATACTTTATTGATCAATTTTATAAATTAGATATTTTTATATTCTATTAAAAAAAATAATGAATGTTTATTGAGCTCTTATAAAAACCGTTACATGAGCCGTAGCTTTTGTTATTATTATTAAAAGTGTATTAAATAGTCCATTAACATTATAAACTATAATACACTAACGTTAAGCTTTTAACTCATGCTTTTATATAAAACGTTTTCTAGCTTGAGCTTTAAATGCTAATGCATGCCTCACCTGAGCTGCAACGTACGGCGATACCATGTTATATATATATTCAGCTACTTGTTTATATTTCAAGATAGCAGCTACGAACCAAAAACTCCCTCACACGATATTTCTGTCTGATGGATTAATAATTTCTTCCAGTCTCGTTGTTCTGTTACCGGCTTACGCCGAAGAGCTCGTTTTATCTTGGGGAAAGGTTTTCGCTAGTCGGAAATACTTTCTTGAAGACAACGTTTACGCGACTCGAGCTATTTTATTTTCTAACGTTTTTTGCAGGTTTATCCGGCCAATTTTCCACCAACAATCTCAAGAAAGTATTTGGCGTCGGATATGCCTGCACATATCATCTCACAAGGCGTTGCCGCCGCACTCATCGGGGCTATGTTATCTCTACTTGTGCGTTGCGAAGTAGGTTGTGATACACCCGCATGGGGAGCCATATTAATCGGATTAACGCTCAGAAAAGTCTTCTACGTATAATGGTTAGTCTCGCCACTTTCCTACTTACAATGCGCCATACTTTAACACCACTTTTTAAGAAAAAATGGTATTCGTTTTTTAGTGATAAAATGACAACTATGAAAAATAACAAACCACTAAGATCAAGTTTAAACTTGGTTTGTAGTGATGATAATTTTATTGCGGTTGTTTCTCAAAGTTGTAAAACTAATGATGTGAATGTGTGGGTGGTAGACTCCGGGGCTACCAAGCATGTTTGTAAAAAAAATGATTTTACCTCCTGTGTGGTTGTTTCTCATAGGAGATGGTGAAGAGCTCGTTACCTAGCGGACTCTAAAACCGTTAAGGTGCATGGAAAAGGGAAAGTTCTTCTGAAGCTCACATCAGGGAAAACTTTATCACTAAATGATGTGCTTCATGTGCTCAAGATTCGGACTAATTTGGTTTCCGTTTCTATCTTGGGAAAAGTTGGGGTTAAGTTTCTTTTGGTTGTGACAATTTTGTTATGACCAAAAATGACGTTTTTGTGGAAATTGGCTATTGTAAGGATGGACATTTTGTGCTTAGTAATTTTAAAATGTTGCATGATGATGCTTCTGCGTACTTACATTGTGTTAATTATTGTGTTATGTGATATAATAGATATGACGTTTTACATGGTAATTTTTTGTTGGTCTTTATTTTTGTTTGATTTATGAAACTCCTAAATATCTTAAGATTGATATTTAGTGATATGGGAGCAAGTCTAGAAAATTATGATATAATTGATGAATTTATATAAATTTTATTAGAGCATCTACACTGTGTTTGGAGGTGGTAAAACAAAAACTCTTTGTTATATTTATTGATGATTTTCGAGATAAACTAAATTTTATCTTATTTAAATTTAAAGGCGAGTTTTTGATAAAATCATTGTTTACAATTAAAGGTTGAGATATAAATTATCTCTCTATGAATTCTAGAAGGGCTATGCACCTGTTTTAAATATTTAAAATTGTGGGGGTGCTTAGCTAAATTTTTATTACCTATTTCATTTAGTGAAAATGAGATTTATAACTCTTGCCACTTTTGCATAAATTGAAATAGTGGAGCATATATATGATTTTCTTAAAAGAAAGAAATAGTGTGCTAATGTGCAATGCTTTATGCTATATTATTGATGTTATTAATGTGACCGTTTTTGGAGAATGTGTACACACTAAATGATGCATGTATGATTATTTGTTTATACGCTATTGAAACAAAAAAAATGCTGAATTTTTTGAGATTGTGTTTCCTTTGAAAATTGAACACAAGACCGTTGCGTCATATAGTGATTGTGATCCATTACAAGGAAATAAAACCTTTAATGATGAACCCTCTAGTGATAGTGATCCATTAAAAGAAAATTATTCTTTTAATGATGAACCTTCTCCTTTGAGAAGAAGTAAGAGGCCATGGATAGAGAAATCCTTTGGAAATGATTTTTATTCATATCTTATTAATCTTATTAATGATGAAATTTTGACTTATTCACAAACTTTTTATTCATCAAATGGATATTAAAATTGCATTTTTAAATGGTGAACTAGAGAAAGAAATTTATATGGTGCAACCGGAAGGTCATGTAATTACTGATTAGGAACACAAATGTGAAAATTTTGATGAAGTGTTATTCGCTTATGAGAAGTAGATATAAGTGTGAATACTATAAATGTGAAAATGGTGTGTGCATTATTGTTTGCTTGTATGTGGATGATTTGTTAATTTTTGTGTGAAGGACTTGGGGTTAACAAAAATGATTTTGGATATATATGAAAGTCACAAGGAAGGATGATGGTGTTGTACTGTCTCAAGAGCATTATGGTGATAGACTTCTAAAGAGGTTTGGATATTTTAGTGTCACACCCGTGAGTATCCCTTATGACTTTCATATGCACTTAAAAAAATAGAGGTGATTGTGAGGCTCAATATGAGTATTCTCAAATTATTGGATGTTTATTACAGTTTATAAATTATACTAGGCCTGACATAGTTTGTGTTGTCGGAAGATTGAGCTGATATACTCATGATCCAAGTAGGGATTATTGGACTGCGTTGAGACGGTTATTGAGATGTTTGAGAGGTACCATTAATTATGGTTTTTTTTGAGATTATCCGTTGTAATCTATTGATACAACGAT